GGGGGGGGGGGGGGGGGGTGTAGGCCAAAAAGTTCCAAATGACGAAAAAAATTTCCGAATATTTCATGGTATACGAAGCCACGAAGGTGTTTGCTATCTGGAAAATGAAGACGCAATTTACAAACAAGAATACACATAATTTACGCATATTACAGAAGTATGCAGTGCCGTAGGAAGCTCTTTTTTATTGGGGGCTGGGAACGAGGGCCGAAGGCCCGAGGAAATTTTTAAATTTGGATTATCTGAAATGCCATTTCCTGGACTTTGGGGGAAGTTTTGACAGAGTTATGATGGTCAGAAAACAGAGCTTTAGTATGATATTTGTGATGTTACTCTGAGTATGCATCCACAGTGGGCAAGCTGAGAAGTTTGTCTGGCCACGGTGGGAATCGAACCCGCGACCTTTGGGATACTAGTCCAATGCTCTCCCACCTGAGCTACGTGGTAAAGTCGATTCGAGTTGTTAATAGAGTTTTAGTATGTCGAAATTTACAATTTGCTTACAATTTAGCAGAACTAAATGGGCGAAGGCGTATTTACAGTCACACCGGATGTTCTCTTGCGAGCAACATTGCAATATTGCTCCCACAATATTGCAATTTTGATAGGCAGATTGCTCTGAGCAAATTGCAACCGACGCGAACAAATTGCAAGTTGTAAATTCACAAAAGATTTGTAAACAAACCCTCTGATTGGATTATAAGAAAGAGGGAAGCCAAACAAATAGTCTGAGCAACTGGATTGGTGCTTCCCCTTTCTTATAGTCCAATCAGAGACTTTGTTTACAAACTCTTTTCTGAATTTCAACTTGCAATTTGTTCGCGTCGGTTGCAAATTGCTCAGAGCAATCTGCCTATCAAAATTGCAATATTGTGGAACAATATTGCAATGTTGGTCGCAAGAGAACATCCGGTTTGACTGTAATTAACTATATATTAGAGAAGTTGCAGGAAAGAGTATGGGTAATATAATTCTTTGCGGTTTGTCATGGATAATGTATCCGCTTAAAATTAATCAATTGTTTAAATGGTAAAGGTGTGCATGATTTTGAAAAAGACTGATTATCAGCAAATTATTGTAAGGGTGCTGCCTCCCCCCGGTTGCTACGGCCCTGAGAAGTAATAAACCGAAAAACATTTACCGATTTGTTAAACGTTATCCATGTAAATGCCGTGATTTCGAAAATCATTTTATACTGATTATAATATTATAATATTTTTTCTCTTTAATTAAACAACTAAAATTTTGTTATACTATTATTGCCGTAAATTTCCGAATGGCCAACCCGATTTTCCGAATATGTTAATTCTACAAAAGTTGGGGGGGGGGGGTTAACCCCCCCCCCAATACTCCCCTCGCTACGGCCCTGAAAACATAACTAATTATCTCTGTGAACGTGTATCAAGTCCTACACACTATGCTAGTGTCTGGTTACAATCTCACTTCAGTCTCACGTACAAGTTTGCTAGTTAGTACCAAACACTATATGCTATCTGCAGATATTCTTGTTCCTTCCTGTTATTCCTTGGAGCTATATGGAGAACAGAATAGATATCCAGTATAATAAAGTTTGTTAGCTTAGTTCAGTTCAATATTACACAGTAACTGTTCTCTTTCTTAACAGTATCCTGGAGGTCCCTGAGCAAACCTATGGTTCAAATTGACACTGGAATGACACCTTCAACTTGGGCAACAGACGCTAACAATAACATCTACGAACTGAAGGGTGACGATTTCACACTAGTACCTGGAAAATTGAGTCACGTTACATCTGGTGCTGCTGGTGTATGGGGAGTTACATCTGCTTCTCATATTTACTACAGAGATATGGTAACTAACACTTGGAAGAGAATTGTTGGAGGTTTGAAACAAATAGATTCAGGGCCCAAGGGAATTGTCTGTGGTGTTAGCAGTATTGATGAAGTATTCTGTCGCACTGGAATAACTGATGCTACCCCTGAGGGCTCAGCTTGGATTAAACTTGATGGATCTCTGAAGTACATCTCATGTGGCGAGTTTGGTCATTGGGGAGTGAACAAACATAACCAAGTCTTCTTCCGTGAAGGTATTTGCATTTCATTATAGTTTAACACGATAG